CAGATTTGGTTGATGTACTTGTTAAATGCTGTTGCTCTACTCATCATCACGATGGAGCGACGGGGACGAGGGTGGGATTCGAACCGACGCGGGCAAATAGCGACAAAAAACCCACCCACGTAAAACCAAGGGCTTCACTACCTCTGAAGTGGCGTACTAGGTGCCACTGTTTGACAATGGGAAGGACAAGTGGTCGTCGTACGTCATTTGTGTCGAGTCTTACTTCGAAGGCAACAACATCGTGGAAGACACTTAGAAGAGAGCACTTCTTATCTCGGCTCTCGGATCAAGGTCGACAAGTGGTCGTGTATGTCATTCGTGTCGAGTCTTACTTCGAAGGCAACAACATCGTGGAAGACACTTAGAAGAGAGCACTTCTTATCTCGGCTCTCGGATCAAGGTCAATTGACGTCCTCAGTGGGCGGTGCGCTCCTCGGAAGGTGAACCAACTCACTTACAAGGAAGCAGTGGAAATTTTGCAAGGCTTCTTGGTCCCCAGCTGAATGAATTTGCGCAGAGCTTCAGATTTTTCACTCGTGTTCAGAATCAATACGAATCTGCCCAGCAATTTATTGTTGAGCTCTGTCGACTTGCCGACTAGTGCAACTTTGTCAACATGTTGGACCGAGTGCTGCAGGACAGATAGTATAAGGAATTCGAAACACAGAGCTACAAAAAGCACTACTGTGTTGACTCCTATATACATTTAATTTAAAGAAAAACTAAGTTTGACCTTGAAGCAAGCCGAGAGCATGTTGCTTACATCGGAGGCGGCGGTTTAGGGCATCCAACTTATAAACGTCAACGTGAAGACGGAACCAGAATTGCATAGGTTGGCTGAAGGGTGGCCAATAAGTTATACAAGTAAGCAATTTAGCAATTAGTGCGAAAGGTATGCAAACAAGACCCACTTGTATCAAACTTGCCCGTACAAAATGCCAAGTGCTTCAAGTACCGAAAAAGGAGCATATATTCGTAGCATGCAGGGCAAGGGGCAAAAGTCGAGTAATTTTGCGCTAACCGGAAGTTCCGGAGGGAACGAGGCTTATACTGCCTCAGCTGTACACAATTGGCAGAAGTTAAGCACCGGTGCTGGACAACGAAATCGTCCATCCTGTACGACGCAAGTTTTGCTGCAAAGACATTGACCTCGTTATGGAAATTCATTCCGGGTCGCCGGTATGCGCAATACCCTGGTTCATGTACAACAGGCACTGGGAAAAGTGGCCGGAATTAAGGAGACATACCTGAGGTTGTCAGCTACCTGGGACCACTGTCTATCGCTGGTAAGCTCATGCTGCCAATTTCCTATGATGGCAAGACTGGGACTGCCTCCGTGACCGTAGTTGTCATTCAGGGCCTTGTTTATGTGGGCGCAACCTTATTCGAGCCCAGAACAACCTGGGTGCCCCTGTTCTAAGCCTGAGCAGAGCCAGGAGACGAGACAACAAAGAGCTCAAAGCAATTTTGTCAGAATATGAAGGCGTCTTTAAGGAAGAACTGGGCCTGTTCTAGGTTCCGCCTGTTCACGTCTGTGTGAAAAGAGATGCTGTGCCAAAGTTTTTCGAGGCGAGACCTCTGTCATACGCATTACGAGGCAAGGTTACAGAAGAGCTGGAAAGGCTAGTGAAGTCTGGCATGCTTTCCCCTGTCGCTCACTCTGAATGGGCTATGCCAATTGTGCCGTTGAAGATGGGTCTGTCAAGATCTGTGGCGACTACAAGGTAACCGTAAATGCAGCATGCGTCACTGAACATTATCCACTTCCAGTCGTCGATATCAATTTTGCAGCACTGCACAAGGGAGACGTCTATAGCACCTCAGACTTATGGAACATCTACAACCAGATTCCATTGGATGACGAGTCAAAGAAGTTGACCACCATCAGTACTACAAAGGGCTTTTTTGTAACAACCGCTTACCTTTTAGTGTGTTGTCCGTACCGGCTATCTTCTAGCACACTATAAAAAATCTGCTTGGCGGTCTAAGTGGCGTACAAGCATATTTAGAGAACGCTCTATGGCAGAAGGGAAAGCAGACAGCGATAGCCATCTGAAAGCTGTGCTCTAACGAATCCGTCACTGTGGCATAAAAGTACAAAATGATAAAGGCTCCTTCAGGGAGACGGAATTGTCTTATTTGGGACACAAAATAACCAGTGACGTACTTCAGCCACTGGAGAACCTGAAAGCTGGGATGAAAACACCAAGTCTAAGGAAGGGGAGCGAGCTATGTTCTTACATTAGTCTGCTCACTTACTACAGTAAGTTCCTTACGTGTATGCCAACCACACTGCCTCTATTGTACAACCTTCTGAAGAAGGATTGCTGGTGGAAGGGGACTTCAACTCAGCAACAAGCATTTGAACAGTCTAAGGAAGCCCTCCAACGTGCTAAAATGCTAATGCACTTTGACCCAACCAAGCCGTTGTGGCTTGAGTGCGACGCCTCTCTGCATGTCATAGGGACGGTTCTTTTTCATCGCGTTGACGGCATCGACAAACCAGTAGGTACTGGTGAAGTACTGGTAGCGACCTGGTTTGAACGTGTTTCACTTCAAGACTTGACAACGAGCTTAGCTTTGGTGTGACTGGCATCGTGTCTTGTGTCCATGCCAAGATGAGAGACCATTAGGGTTTGGACTTTGGTAGCATGAGGGGATAGTGGAGGATTGTTTTCCTTTCTGTCAATGTTATGTGTACTCGGTTTTTCCCGTGTGTATAAAGTTGTGTACAAACAGGCCAGTCTTTTCATTTCATGGGTGTCTGTGGCGACTCTCGGACATTCACCAAGAACTTGCACATAGCAATAACGTACCTGCCAACTCTCCCGAATCATCCGAAAGACCGCCGATTTTCGACCTAATCTCCCAATTGTATGAATGCTGTTTTGAATCTCCTGAAAAGTGGCTGGCACAGCAGAAGCGTTTTTTTAATCACGTACATATGCCTTATTACTGCGACAGTTACCAACTGCAGAACAGTACTCGCCACTATACTTCGAGTTCATTGTAATTGTACCGTAGAGTACTGCTAGGTAGGTACCGCACTCGTGGCCGTCGGCTGGCTGCCGCGAAACTCGCTCGCAACTGTACCAAAAGGAGGTGAGAGAAAAGGACAACACTTTTGTCTGTGTGTCTTGGCTTCCGTATTCTGTACGCAATAGGTCTACGCCATCTGCATAGGTGTCAGTTGTGTTTGTTGCATGATTGTGGGTGCTGCGTGTTTCTCTAAGTTCAGTTGGAAGGTTGATGACGGTGTCAAAGCTAAGGAGTACTTGCAAGTGTTTGTGGACTCATACTCTCAGTTTCTGTGCTTTGTGGCTTCGGGGAAAGGTGTCAAGTACGGATTCTGCACCAGATGCGTCTGTGACATAAACGTTTCACACTGAGGCAAGGTTGGCGTAAAGCTGCACATTGCTTCACAGAAGCATCAGAACTACGTTCATGCTGCCAGCACAACATCGGTAGTTTCTTCCGGAAGAGCTCTGAAAACTGTGCAAAGTTTGCGCAGAATGCCTATTCATAGGATTTGCTGTGGAACGCCGCTCTGCATCAGTAATCACGCAGGACTGTTGTTGCGGCAAATGTTACCGAACTGCAAGGACACGAAGTGGTGCAGACATGGAGGCACGAAAACATAATCGGGAAAATGGCTGCAGATGCCGAAAACACACTGGTGGAGACCCTAAAATGCTGTTCTTTCACAATCGCAAAGGACGGAAGCAATGAGAGCGAGTCCGAGTCGCAAATGTCTCAGTCCCATTGAATCCTGACATGCAAGAAAACACCCCCACTACCCCCTCTGGTCTCCCGAATTTTCATGCCATTACGTTGGGAGGAATGTAATAACATCAACAACACTGTAACAAGAGCACAACATTGAGATGGCATTACTTATAAGGCACGGGTCCTTCGTCGATAATTTGAGTCGGTCACCAAGTGTATGTTGCACGTGTACGCGCTCGGAGTGTAGAGAAAACAGTAAACTGAGCTTGGTTAGTGTCCAGTATCCACCTTGGCTGCTATGCACGAAGTCGACCCACGCTTATTTCAGCGCAGGATCGGACTGAAATCTGGTGAATTTGAATCTATTGTCCCCCGTTTCACTGAAACAAGACATCACAGGGCAAAATATTGGTGCCATGATGACACATTCTAAATCAAACGATTCCTTTGCCCTCTGATAAGCGTCTAGTATCTTGTATTCGCGTGCACGTACACTATTCCAGACTCCGCAAGCTCGCTTCACAGGTATGCTGAATGACAGTGACTGCACGGCGCAGGCAGACGATCGAAAAGGGGATGTGCAAGCTGCCATTTTTGCGTGTGTGTGTGCGCTTGACGTCATTACAAATAGTCAGACTGCTGCATGAAGTCACCAGCATTAGTACTGCAGCCTGTCATCAAGTTAGTAACGGTCTTGGTAAGTGTGCCATGAGAAATTCGACCTTAATAAAAAAAAAAGAAATGTCTTATCAGCATTTGCCGAATGTCACACTTGCTCAGAGCAGTCTCTGTATACAGGAGATTTGTTCAGCAGAGTAAACTCGCTTCTGAAAAAAGGTGTCAGTACCCCTTCAAGTGTGGAGGGGCCTGACGGAGCTCTTTCTCGGGAAGGCACAAAAGTTTCAAGTTTGAAGTGAAATTAGAGGGGCACTTACCCGGCTGGAGGCATCAGCTCCAAATTTCGCAATAGGTGTGAAAAGGCACGCAATCAATAGATGCTTTGAAGCAGATGCTATGCTGACTTTGATATTTGAAAGTGAAACGAGCTTTCAGGTTTTTGCGACTCACTAAGGTTTTTGTTGCATCTATTGCAATGTGAGCATTAGTATTTAATTTTTTTTGTTAGGAAATAGTGTGGTCAGCATGAACAATCTGGTCTGCATACTAATGAAATATTTTTTTTTTTTATTATAGTGGCTTCTTGGGGAAGGAAGACTTTGTTGTTACCAGAGTTGCTGCACAAAAAAGAAATCTTTCTGGTGCTGTGCTTACAGGTTCCACCCACACCCAGCAGCTGCCAAGGCAAGATTGGAACAACAGCTGGGCGCTATCTGGTCACCTGCCACTTCTGATGTTTGTGGTGCTGGTCTGTGTTGTAGCCCTTCTGCTGCCACTCAAGGGTACACTTGATGCCAGCAGCCACCCACTGTTGGCATACTTCTCTCTAAGCCACAAGCTCAAGCTAGTCGCTGCATACATCCTTGGTAAGTCCATCCCATCTGAAATACTCACTTGATTGCTTCGGTGGTCAACTGGTGTACCGTTTTATTTTAGCCAAAGTGCTACCTTAATGGTGTTATTTCCTTTGTTGCATATTCTTTGAAGCCGCAAGTACAGTAGGGTAAAGAACTAAAGTCTGTTTAATTACTTTGACCGGGATTGCCCTATTATTGAAATTTCACCATTTTGGTGTCTCTGCTCATGATGCGATGATGGTGCTCCCAAATTCTAAAGAAAGTGGCTAAAATACATTGGACTTGTGCTTTGTGACTCCACTAATTACTAGATGGCAAGAAATACAAAGAAAAAATATTTTTCCTTACTTTGTGGGAAGGCTGAGGAAGAAAAAATACAGTAATACCTCGTTAACTCTCTCATATTTCGATAAATCAGCTAAGTTGAAATTTTCTACAGCACCGAATATTTTTCTATACGTCACATATATATTTTTTTATCTCGAAGTATTTTTGGGTCGTGTTGCGGATAACCCAAAATCTTGACTGGGAGTGGAAGAAAAATTCCGCTGCCAGACCATTTCACAAGATTTGCTCATCACTGCCACGCCTGAAGTCCGTCAATTTTTTTCCTATTTAGCCACGCTTGCCACTATGTCAATGCTTTCCATGAATGCGAAGTCTTGCCTAAGTGACATATAAGCTTTGTCAAGCAACCCTGTGGCATGTTATGTAACACATGCACTGAGCAGAGAGGCCCTCGGCCTACGCTTAGCGTAGTTTGTCTTGTTCACTTTGTGCAGTGCCCATGATTTTTCCTGAGGTGTGATTTTCGTTGATCTGCACAAACCGAGCGGTATGAATTTTTTTGATGATTATGAAGAGTGGCAATTTAGTTTGAGTGTGCAAGCATGGCGTCAAAGCAGTGCAAGTCTCTAACGCAAGAAAAAAGGGTTGCCCTAATTACGGAAGTGGAGAAAGGAGGCCGAGCGAAATCGAGCATCGGGGAGGAATTTGGCGTCCCTTTGTCTTCGCTTTCGCCGAGGCTTAACAATATGCAGAAGCCGCTGGATGGATTTCAAGCTTCTCCAGCCAGCGGAAGTGGGTTCCCAGACGTTGAAGTTCCCTGACGTTGAAACGGCATTGATGGTATGGCTGCGAAATAAGGTCTAGTGCACTGGCAGGGAAAATCGACTGATCTGATGCATCGAGCAGCTGAAGGACGCCTTCCTAAGCTCGAGTACGGCTGCAAAGCAGATAGAGGATTAGGCAGTTTTTTTTTTTTTGCTAAATGAAATGGCAGTGCGGCAAAACCCAGCCGGTTAGTCTAAAAACTGCTGCTGAAGAGCCAGTAAGAAGTAGTGATTTTTCTGAAAAGCGTGCATTTTTTGTGGTGATTAGCGTAACTGTGGTGATTAGCGTAACTTTGCTTATCTCAAAAATTTGTTTATCTCGAAATTTTTCCTGGTCTTTACGACTTGGAGTTAACGAAGTATTATTGTAATTACTTTTTAGCATGCCTAGACAAATCAACAAGAGAGAGAGAGAGATATGGTATGAAGGAAGGCAAGGAGGCTAACCGGAAAGCAAATATCTGGTTTTGCTACCCTGCACTGGGGAAGAGGGAATGGGAGACAGAAAAGTAAGGAAAACGAAATGAGAGAGAGTGGGAGGAAGCGACACACACGCCACACACGCACGCACGCACGCACGCACGCACGCGCGCACACACACACACACACACACACACACCACACACACACACACACACACACACACACACACACACCCACACACACACACACACACACACACACACACACACACACAACACACACACACACACACACAACACCACACACACACACACACACACACCACACACCACAACACAACACACACCACACAACACACCACACACCACACACCACACACACCACACACACACACACACACACACACACACACACACACACACACACCACACACACACACACCACACACACACACACACACACCCAAACACACACACACCACCACACACACACACACCACACACACACACCACACACACACACACACAACACACACACACACACACACCACACACACACACCACACACACACACACACACACACACCACACACACACAACACACACACACACACACACACACTAGAATGTCACAATCGTTCGAAGAGGCGGGTCGATTGCAGAAACTTCAGGGGGGCCTTCGTCGCTTTTCGGCGTTAAGCTCGATCTTTCCTGCATTCCAAAATTAATTTTTCGGAAATTAGCTGGTCGTCAAGGCGTGCAAACACTGCTGACAGTTGTACTGAGGGCACTGACACAAAATATGTTTGATGGTTTTGTCAGTGCCGCAATGGTCACATGCAACACTGTCTGTCCATCTGATGCGGCAAGCAATGGCGTTCGTGTAAGACACCCCAAGCCACATGACGGTTGTCTCAGATTTGAATAAACCAGATGGAATGGTAAGTTGTAGGTATGGATCCAGGCGGTAAAGATGGGTGTGGAGAAATTTAGGAGTGTTTCACAGAAACCTGACGACATCGTGCACGTCGCTAACGCTAGAAAAAAAAATTGCCCTTATTGAGGAAGTGGAGAAAGGAGGCCGAACAAAATCGAGCAGGAATTTTGCATCTATTTTTCTACGCTTTCGATGGTGCTGAAAAATGAACAGAAGATGCTGGATGAATTTCAGCAGAGCTTCTCCAGGCAACAGAAGCGGGTTCGAGGGTCAAAGTTTCCAGACGTTAACATGTCATTGATTGTATGACTTCAAAATAAGGTCTAGTGCACCCGTAAGGAAGATCTCGATGTGTCAAGCAGTTGAAAGACACCTTCCTAGGCCCGAGTACAATCGCAAAGCAGGCGAAGGTTAGGCCGTTTTTCTCTGCTAAATAAAATGGCAGTGCAGCAAAAGCCAGCTGCTTAAAGTTTCTTGTATGTTAGTTCTTCTCTCTTAAACCTGAACGAGAAGGAGAAAGATAAAAAACTGCCTTTGAAGAACCGGTAAGTAATACAGCAAACCCTCGTTAATTCGAACTCGATTTTTTCGAAATCTCGGTCAGTTTGAAGGATTTTTGCAGTCCCGTATTTTCTAATGTGAGCTAGAGTGGGTAATTTGAATCGGCGGCCGGCACCAGTCCGGTTAATTCGAAAACTTTGGGAGCCATGTGCCAGTTCCAGATCCCGATTTCGCCGCGAATTCACAGAAAACGACGGCCATTAATTGCCACAAGGCAATGCAATGTATCAATACTAATGAGTGGCAGCTGAAGCACCCCAGTCTTGCTACTTATAGCACAAAAAAAAAAAAAAAACGAAGAAAAATGGTCTCGTAATCAACCGAAACGTGTGCCTGCGGAAAATTAGCTATGCTTCACTGCAACACAGCAGTGACACGCGGGCAATTTTTTGCATGTTTCTCGCAACGTCAGCGTGTCATGGTTTACCTATTTTTCTGGGATTGTAAAAAAATTATTAAAGAACAGTTTAGTGGAAATCGCGATTTATGCAAACCCCCGATTGCCAGTTGCTCCAGCAATTCGCGTCTTTGCACTGCTGGCGGAGTTCTCGCCAGCAACACCTACTTCGAAAACCAAGTTTGACAGTTTCAAAGATCATTTTTTTTTTTTCATCCAAATTTCATCCAAAACACATCGTGATCTTCGTCGTACTGGCCGTTATTAAATTTATAATTTTAATAGAAATATGTGCGAATGGTCGCATCATCATGTGCTGATGCAGCGAGGAGCAGGCGACATGCTGCCCACCTGTCGCTACTGTGTTGCAGTTAAGATATCTTGTTAACCGCAAGGTGCACATTTCAGTCTATCACGATCGCATTTTTTTTTTTTTTTTTTCGGTAGCAGCATCAAGGCCCACCATTATTCCATGTTCGCGGCAAAACAAAGACCAGGTATTACTAGAAAACATCACTTTTGGAGCCGCAAGCTGGTCGGCACAGCAAACGATGAGCACTGATTAGTTTGAATAGTTCTAAGTTCCTTGCATCCCACTTTTGTATGTTCTGTTAATTTGAAAACCCTCTTAATTCGAAGCTTTTAGCGGCCCCAGTCACTTCAAATTAACGAGGTTTTACTGTAGTGATTCTTCTGAAAAGCACTCATTTTTCTGGCGATTAACACAACCTTGCTTATCTGAAAAGTTTATCTTGAAATTTTCTCTCGTTTTTACGAGTTCCAGTTAACGAAGTAATACTTAAATACCTTCAGCATGCCTAGACAAATCAACAAGAAGTTGGCTGCTTTTTACTAGGAAATCTGTTATAGTACTGTTATGTTCAGGAGAAAAGCAAGAAGGCTTTTCTTTTGAACACCTATTAGAACATTTACCATTATCAGGGAATACTGTGAATGCCCCACAATTACTTAACTTTAAAATTAAAAGAGATATGATTTGATTCTGCCTTTAACTTGTGCAAAAGCCTGCCTCTGAATAAATGCTCCCAAGAAAGCAGACGCATCATCAGCTTCTGAATTGTTGAAGCCTTGATCTTGATCATCTAGTTTCATCTTGTCATATTATTGTCATTATCCTCACAGCTTTGGCAGTGTACAAGAGTAGCAAACACTGTTTTTCCTTACCAGTCCTTGCTCGTTGAATAATTTTGCGAACTTCCCCACCACTGTAGTGCTTCTTTGAGTTACTCTTGATTCTCCAGTCTATCTTGCTTTCTCTTAATTTCAAAAGTATATTATCACCCTAATTTTGCTTAACTGTGTTTTTGTGACACCTGTACTTTAGGCCCAATTTTCCGTGCATTCGGGCTTCTTTTGGCGTGCTGTGGTCATGTCGAGTTGCTATCTCAGTGTAAAAAATATCGATTTCAGTCAGATTTTGGGAAATGCCTATGCATGTTTTCTAGCTTTTGTTTGTTTATTCGGTTGGTAACGCCAGCTTCCAAAAAATATTTGTTTACAAGTGGTTTGGCAGTGTCCTATCCTCAAATAAAAACACCTTGTAATTTTCTTGGTTAGGC